CCTCCTACCTCCGGTAGAGTTCTGCTCCTACCTCCTCCTACCTTCGGTAGAGTCCTGCTCCTACCTCCTCGTACCTCCTGCCATAGTCCCCCCTCGTCCCTCCTTCCTCCCGCCATAGTCCTCCCTCCTTCCTCCCGCCATCGTCCTCCCTCCTTCCTCCCGCCAAAGTCCTCCCTCCTCTCCCCCGCCATAGCACCCCCCCCCCCCCCCCAACACAGAAATCAATATGCCTGGAAAAAAAAAGTGAGGCCGGATTTGGGCAGTACTCGGCAAGCGCAGCAAACCCCCGTAAACCCAAAAAAAAATAAAAAAAATCGGTGGATTTTTACCTACCCGGACGAGGCGCCCGGGGCGCCCGGCAGGCACGCCCGGCTGAGCGCCCCGGGAAAGCTAGATTGCAAGCCAACTTCAGAACAAACCAGACCCCGGAAATATGCAGTGGTGGACAAACTCGTCGCAAAAGTTTGCCTGTGAAAGGTAGTGTTAGCTTAACAAGGAATTCCAAGACAAACCACGAGAAAAGGTGTTCGCAAACCAATTTCACACAGAAAAAATCCCCATGTTCTTGATTTTTCAAAAAAAAAAATTCACATTCTTAAAATGATTTGTGCTGCGCAGGACCCCGCCTGGATGCTTGCCGAAGGGGTGCCCAGTGAGCGCCCTCCCAGCAGGGACAATGGGCCAGAAGCACAGCCAGAACAACGACCGTAGAACACACAGCACATCAGAAGTCTCCCAATACACCATATTACCGGACCAAGGACAACGAGAGAGCACAGCAACCATGTGCCTGCATGCACAATGAGCGACAATTGCATCCAACAGGTGATTGACATGCAGCACCACAGAGGGATGTGATGAAGATGCCCACAAGACGGTGCCCAGAACAACAGCAGCATCAAGGAGGGAAAGACCGTTCATAAACATTGCAGCAGTCCACATGGTAACCTTCTCCTTCTCAAAATTGAGCTCTGAAAAAGAAAAATCCCCTCCAATATCTCCTCCAATGACTCTCTCTCTCTCTCTCTCTCTCTCTCTCTCTCTCTCTCTCTCTCTCTCTCTCTCTCTCTCTCTACGGTTTACCGGGCAGCTCTGTTTGACGATATATACCACGACTTCGCTAGCACCCTGCTATGGTTTTCTCCGGTCAGGTCGAGCACCAGTGGTCAGGGCCGTCACTACGCGGCCATGCTGTGCCTCTAGTGCCAGCGACGTGTATGGAGTGTATTTTTTGGCTGCGACAGGCCTTTCTGCAATCAGACTCAACTCTAGACTTGCTCACAACATGCACACTTGAGAACCGATGGCAAACCAAACTCTTCCAACTCAGAAACAACAATGAACTTGCTCTTAAACTCTGTTCAGAACAACTGTACAACTTGTGGCTATGGCCGCCAAACACTGTCTCTACCACCAGCCTCACTCTCCCAAACTCTCACATGTATGCACGTGCCAGGATCACCCTGAATGTCCCCACTCAGCACAGCCTCACACACTCTGTACACTTGTCTAGACCAACAGCTGGGCGGCTACGGCCGCTGTCGTCTTCCTCCTCCTAGCTATGGCCGCCGGTGTCTCCCTCGCTGGTTCGCTATGGCCGCTGTCTTCTTCACAGCCCACTTCTTCTCCGGGCACCTGCAGACCTCCACACACAAGATACCAAGGCAGCTCTTCCGCATGGCTCACAGGCGAATGAATGAATGGCTGGACGCTGCCTCTTTATTTATACCTCTTTGGAGGTACCCGGGCCTGCCTCAAAACATGTGGGCCTGGGCCAAAACGTGTGGCCCAGGGAAGTTTCCAGATGTTTGGCCTTCTGGGCCAAAACGTGTGAAACCCACAGCGTGCTCCAGAACCTTCCCCACGTGCAGCCCTTACCCCTCGTACTCGCTGACTGGACTGGCCTACAGGGACCTACGACCTACTAGACTATACAGACCTACAGACAGATTCCAGTCCTCAACAGACTTCGTAGAGACTTCTAGAACAGACTTCCTAAGCCTATCGGTAACAGACCTAGCTGCTAATCCACAGACCTAGGGATCAAGTCCTACTGCCCAAACTACAAACTAATCTGGGATGTGAAACAGGTCTAGGGATCGAATCCTTTTTTTTTTTTTTTTTTTTTTTTTTTTTAATTTTAAATTTGGACCATTTATCGATTTATGCGTGTCATCCTTGCGCAGGGGCCATGCTAATCTTCTCTGTATCGTTCCAATTTTAGCGGATGTCCCGAAGCTATGGCCGCCGGTGAAACAGGTCTAGGGATCGAATCCTACTCAGCACACGGGACCTACTCAGCTCACGGGATCAATGTACAGGGTTGTGGCACAGGTCTAGGGATCGAATCTCTATGACTGCAATGTCCGGTCAACTGGATGAAACCGTTTCATTTCTTTGTTTCGTGGGTGTTTTGCTGGCTTGTGATGGAGTGTGAACCAGCATTGTGGGTGAGTGATAGGCTGCTTTGATTTTCATCACAGGTACCTTGAGGGCAGTGGTTAGTGCCCACCTCAGGGTACCAGTTGTCGGGCAGCCGTTGATGCTTAACCACAGCCAGGGTTAAGGTGGATTGTCACTTACAGTGTAATCAGTTAGCGGATTCTGCAGACTGTTGAGGGTTCAGCCTCCTGATGAGTAGGTGAAACTCCGACGAAACAGTTTGTCGCAGCCCTTGTTTGTTGTCCTCTTCTCCCTCTCTGCCTACAGTTTACTGGGCACCTCTGTTTGACGATATATATTGTCACGTGATATCAGAGCGCCGAAGCAAAAAACGAAAGAAAACAAGGAAACAAGAAAAACTTAATTCATTTTTAATCTTCTGCCTTACAACTCCCCCTGTTCAGAACCTCTTGCGTACAAGGCCGCCCACGTGGATGTAGGTTGAGCGGCGGCTGCCCGCGCCCCCGTGTGTCATATCGACACACTTGCACACAGCCAAAAGGCAAAGAAAAGAGGAAGGGGACAGCCAAATAATACAGAACAGGGGGCAACAAAACAGATCCCCGATGACAAGTCCCACATGCAAGCACCGCCCCTGCCCACAGGCCAAACGACGGGACAAGACCAACCAGAATGTCAAGCGTTCTTGTCTGCAAAAAAAATCAACCCGGAGGACAGGTATAAAAAACAATCCTGGATGATGATTCCCACATGCAAGCACTGCCCCGCTTTCCAAAAGGCCGAACAACGGGAAACAACCAACCAGGATGCCAAAGCAATAAATATATGAGTCGGTGAAACTCCGACGAAACAGTTTGTCACAGCCCCTCGTTTGTTGTCCTCTTCTCTCTCTCTGCCTACGGTTTTACCGGGCAGTTCTGTTTGTGACGATATATAGTCAAACAGATATCTCGCCCTCTCTCTCCCCCCACCCCCACACCCCTTCTTTTTTATCGAAGTGGGGCAATGGCAATGGCAGGATGGTGATGGATGGCAGGATGGTGATGGCTTGGTGACGGTCACAAGGTGGCGAGAAGGGGTGGTGATGGCAACAAGGTGGCAATGATCGGGCGGTTGGATGACGAAGGGATGGTGGCCGGTTGATGACGAAGGAATGGTGGCCGGTTGCTGACGAAGGAATGGTGGCCGGTTGATGAGGAGGGCGCAGCTAAGAGAAGGAGAGGATGGCCATGAACACCTGGTCATTATCACTTCATCAGGACTGAAAGTTGCACCAAACTCAGCCATAATGACAGGAAGGTATATTTTGGTGGAGACGGTTCTGGGTCATCACTGTTCTCAGGTTGGAGATATGCTGCTTGAGCTCGAGCACAGGAAGAAGGCAGACAGAGCGAGAGTGAGCGTGAAAGGAAGATTAGGCATGGCTAGGATAAATGGTGTGCTGCACCATGACTTAACAAGAGAGAAAGAGCCTCAGATTTGAGGGATGGTCACATCCTGTGCAGAGTGGAGAAGACACAAGAAGTAGAGAAGACAAGAGCAAGGGAGAGCGGTTTACATGGACTTACCTGCTGGCGTTTCCCTGAGTGGCGAGAGCGCACTTTGCGTCTAAGAGCTGGCATTGCATAGACTGGTGTTATTCTTCACTCTGCCCAATTGATACTGCATTGGAGATTGACTTTGACGATTGGTGATGTGCCCGACTGACCATGCAAATGTGAAACAGGAGCATGCAGGTGCGAAAGCATGAAGTGTGAGGTGCCCGACTGACGATAGGTTGATGACTGTGAGGTGCCCGACTGACCATGCAAATGTGAAACAGGAGCATGCAGGTGCGAAAGCATGAAGTAATCATAAAAGATGCACGACCTATAAAACAATGAATCACAGAGAAAGAAAGACAGAAGAGACGAGAGAAGGGGGAAGAGAAGACCAAGAGAGAGAGAAAGGGAGAGAACACATTTGTATTCATTGACTATACTTGGAAATTCTTCTCCTCCTTTGTCTCAACTCCTGTTTACTTGCTATCTCTTGGTGATTCTCAATCATTGTCACGAGATACATGCATGTTGTTGATGTTGTGAGCTTCAAGGTTTTAAGTTCATTACACCACGTGAACATGAAACTCAATCATGCAGGTGCAAGAACACAAAGTCATTTCAAAAGATGCACGACCTATACAACAATGAATCACAGAGGGAGAAAGAGAGAAGAGAGAAGAGGAGATAGAGAGAGAGAGAACAAATTTGTATTCATTGACTGTCATTGGAAACACATCTCCTCCTTTGTCTCGACTCATGGTGTTGATGCTGTGAGCTTCATGGTTTTAGGTTCATCAGAATCATCACAATAAACAACAAAGACCATGCATCTTAGAGTTGCCTGAATTCCTCACGTGCTGGCTTTAATGAGAACTCACGACTCTGTTCTTGTGTACCAATGAATGTGCCATACCTGTTCATCCATGTCTGCAAGAGCTGCCCGCAACCATCCTGCACATAGACACATAACAGTCATCAGCACATATCATCAAAAACATATTCTACTCTGGCCAAATAGGTTGCCTAATTTGCAGTCCCTGTGCATATGGATAACAGGCTCCAAGCTAACTAACATTATCCACAAACAAGAAGGCAGGCCTATATTAGTGAACAGCAATCAACAGGCGTCCAACTGTATATGGGATGTATGGTGGAGCTGCCATATGCATGCAACCGAAAGCTTTCAGGACCAAGAGCATTTCTATATGGATCAGATCAATGCAATGAACTCATTTCAAAATCTGCACAGACATAGGCTCTCAAATTTTCTACACTCCCGTCTGCAAAGTTTACTTCAGCCATAATCACCGCCTCGAGTATTTCTGGATCAATACAATTGCTATGACCATATCGACATGTTTCTGTAGAAGAGAGGGGCATGCTCTCTCACCTTGCTAATTCTATACAGAACGAAATCAATCCTCACCTCCTGACTTTTGATGCTTTAACTTATGCCCTTCCATGGGCATCATGAACCCTGGCCTTGCGCCCCAAAATATCTTACGGAAGTCCTTGTCAGGCTTCTTCAAGGGAGTCCCACAGCTCCTGCCAAACTGCAGTTGCACAATGATGCTGAATTGCATATGCTTGGATGGCGTACCATCAAAGCCGCGTTGTACACTTCATCTCTCATCAAGTATAAAATGCAGAGGAAAAACCATCCAAAGCTTGTGCAGAATTGAAAATCGGAACACAACATTTGAGCTGCACCAAAATGCACACCACCTGTATACCACACAAACAACGGAAGCCCGTCGTATGCCTATCATCAGATAGGCATGGAGCAGAACCAAGGAGTCACCAAAGTGCACAGGAACAACAATGCAAGCAGTGAAAGCCTGAAACGGTTCCAATCTGACTCAGACGCTGGACTCAGCATGGAGCAGAACCAAGCAGAAAACATACATGAAAGACAGCCCTCCTTGCCTCACACACAAGGGGGGAAGTACCATGGATGGTGGAGGCGGGGAATGAGACTATGTGACAGAAGAAGAAGAAGAAGAAGAAGAAGAAGAAGAAGAAGAAGAAGAAGAAGAAGAAGAAGAAGAAGAGCACGTGCACACATCATCACTCGTGAGATAGGCAAGTAGGGGACATACATGAATGAGATCCCTCCTTGCCTCACACACATGGGGAGAAGTACCACGGATGATGGAGGCAGATAATTAGACAAATATGAGAGAAGAAAAAGAAGAAGAAGAGACTGCAACTCAATGTATCAGCCGAATAACAATAACATCTCACCAGCAGCCCTGCAACAGTTCACAAGTGGTTGACGGTGACCCCCACTGTTACATGCTGCGCCTGCACACGGGCCCCATTTCAGGGGCCCGACGGTTGCTAAGGGGCCCCAAGGCCGTGCGCCCTTTTGACGCGCACCCTGGAGGCCCACGGAGGCCCCTAGGGGCAGGATTTGATTTACGACAGCATTCACATATTTGTTTATTTGTTTGCTGTCTTATTTTGTCTGTTCAGGCATCGGTTCGGACTTGCAGTCCCCAAGGCTGCGCCTTGGGCTGGGTACACCAGGAGGCAGGGCCCTTTGAGGCCAGGTTCGTGCTCGTAACTGACGTCCCTGCTGCATCAGCAGGCAGGGTCTGGACGTCCCGTCGGGACCCAGACTGTTACATGCAGCGCGTGCACACAGGGGCCATTTTGCAGGCCCGACGGCCATTTTGTAGGCCCGCGTCCGTCCAGGCTAAAAGCCTGAACTTCAGGCCGAAAGCCTGAATTTCAGGCAGAAAGCCTGAAATCCAGGGCTTACAGGCCCCCTGTCGGTTCAGGCCAAAAGCCTGAAGTTCAGGGCCTATCCCTGGTCGTTTCAGACTGAAAATGGCAACAGCCTTTTTAGCCTGAAACGAAGGTCCATATTCGGTCGTTCATCAGAACGACCGGCCCTGAAACGCAGGCACCAAACCAGGGTTTTGGGGAACAGCCTATCTTTACTGTTCCCACGCCAGCCTCGAGCAGGCTGCTGCACGCCAGCCCCTGGCACACTTCGGCATTGGCAAGAGCTGCCTCCTCGGCCTGCTCGCCCTC